TATCTACCTAGGAGCTATAAGAAGTTGCGAGCTTGCAGCGACAACCGGGGGGTAACACGTGTGAAGCAACTTGAAATGTCAAACATATGTCGTAGGCCACACACATCGATAGAGGTTAGGTCGTGACGCTTTATATACGGGGTGGCCGGAGATAAAGCGCGAAAAGGAAACGCGAGCTTGCGTGGATGGCTCGCTGTCACGTTGACGTTTAAAACTTTGCGCGTCGAGGTTCCTCCGGTTCTATTTATTCCGCTCGCACGTATTTCGCGTATCTGCCATTTTCCTCAGACTATTTTACGAAGAATTTGGTCGAATTGCGAGAAACGAAATTACCCGAGAAAATAGATTTTTCTATAAAGTTTATTAAGCTCTAACCTAATCTAACACCGGGGAGCTTGCGCTGTCAATCAGCTGCGATCTGTCATCCATTTTTGAAGAACGAGTTCAAGACAATATTATAAGAGCATATTTATTTAAATATATATTATAGTATTTATTATTATTATTATTATTATTATTATTATTATATCTTATTTTTATTTATTTAATATATTATATATTAAGATATTAAATTAATATATTTTATCTTTCGAATATATTAATATCTCTTAATGTATTTAATCTATTCTCCTCTATATCTCGATTTCATCTCTTCTCTATTCTCTCTTTAATCTCTACTCTATCTCTATATCCTCTCTCTCTTTCCTATTACTCTCTTCCTCTCTTCCTCTATATTAATCTCTCCCTCCCTCCCTCCTATATCTTCTAATCTAATTAAAATTGATTTAATTATATGTATATCTTAAATATAAAATAAAATATAAAATATGCATAAAAATCGCAGCTCTGAACACGTGGGTGACTAATGTCATCCGGGCGTCCACTCCTAGAATGAAGAGACCGCCATTTTAGAGAGTAACAAAAAACAGAGGATTAATTAGTCGTCGAAAAGAACCTTGAAGAGGATTTTCCGAGTACCTCGGATTCCCCGAAATTTTCTCTGGGGGAAAAACTTCAAGGTAAAATTCTATACGCGACAGAGAATTCTGGGAGGGAAAGAAATAAGAGAAGAAGAGGGGAGATCGGTTGCATAACACGTGTGTGTGTCGAGAGCTTTTCATAATATGCAGTCGTGCAGTAATACGAAACCGTGCAGTGCAGCGGAACGAAAGCTCGTTAAGGCGAAGAACTTCATTTAGAGGCGTTATAATTAAACCGGTTAATGCTTTGGTATATATCTTGCGATGAAGCACCGAGTTACACGCGAGACTTAATCCGCGTTCATTCATATCCCTTTGCGATCGATTTGTCTCTCGTTGCTTGTCTCTACACACTTCGTCGACGTAAAACTCGGAAAATTTTCTGACAAAGATATACATATATATGGTATGTAAAAGCGGTGTGTTTTTTTTTTTTTTTTTTTCGCGGAACCGACCTCGAGAATTCCGCGAAAATACGACGCGTTCTCGTATCGCTTATTTTTGCATTTTAATCGCGCCGAGAGGAATTTCATCGGTCTTTGAAAATGTTCAATATTTAACCGCGAACATTCCCCCTTCTTTCTAGGAATGTAAAGTCGCCTCGTTACAACAACCCGACGAAAATGAAGCACGTCGATTACTCTTATCCCGCGGGAAAAATGGCGGCCGCAAATTTATTAATCCGCGAATCCCGGAGCGACGCGCGGCCGAGTTTTGCACTTAATTGCGAGTTATCCGGCTACAAATGATGGCGGAAAGCCGCGTAATGCGTTTTAATGGGCCGAGATATCGTCTAACGCGATTAACCGACCCTTTGTGCTGACGAAGGTCTTAGGGTCTTAAGGTAAATTGTATTACATCACGCGCGCGGCTCCTCCGAAATGAGTTCATTCGCTTTAACGAACCTTTGCCTGAAGGGAAAAAACGAAAGAACTTTAAATTACATCCGCAAACTTTTCGATTTCCTAAGTTCCTACGAGTATCTTCCAAAGTTGCCGAAGAATTTGTTTTAAAAAATTTTAAGTAGGTCTGTAAACACTGTGTTTAGTAATCGAGCGCATTAGCTAATTGTATGTATAAGTAATGATCAAAATTATTACTTATAAATTATTAAAAATAATAATTTTATATTTAATATATTATTTTTTGTATGATTTAATTATATATAAAAATATATTAAATGTATATATTAAATATATATATATATATATATATATATATCCCTCCATAAAATCAAAATTCTTATATATTATTATTCTACTATATTCTAATCTATAAAATCCTCTCTCCCATACCACTCCCATCTTTTATAATATACGAATTATATATTATTATTATTATTATATTATTTCTGTTTAATTCTTATTCCTGTACGGCTTTATTCTTCCAGTTTGTTTCCAGTGTAAAATAATAATAAAATTTATATCCGCATCTCTGTTTCTCTTTCTGAAAAAAAGGAAGAAAAAAAATCACTCTAGTTACTCCGTTTTAATATTCTCGTAAGAGTTTATTTTCCGGGAACATATATAATTAATTCCTCCTCCACACTCTCTATTCTACTTCGCTGCTTCCTTATTCGTCTTCATATGTGCATTAGCAAGCCCCGACGTAACGCTTCCGGGGATGAATCTGATTAAGCGCCGAATGAATTTCAGAAATTACATGCTCGACACGTAATAAGCAAAACCCAAAATAGCAAATGCGAATTTCGAGCGAATTCCGAAGGGGCGAGAATCATTCGTAAAATCCGGTACACAATATTGTTTTGACAACGTTAAATGAGCTCCGGCGTTCTTCGCTCAGGCATTTCGCATCTTTCAAACGATTTTCCTCCTCGCTTCACAAAATATGAATGTAATATTATTCATATATAGATAAATAAATAATCGAATTAAAATTGAATCAAGTAGCGAAATGTTCGGCAATTACTAATTAAAAATAACTCAATTAATAAATAATAACATATGTATATGCGGTATTATGTATTATTAATATTGTGAATCCTCTGGTAATAAATATTATATTACTACTATAAATAAAATATTCGATATTTTGAGACAGAGAAAAAGAGGGAGAAATAATTAATAATAAAACAATAATATATATAATAAAATAATTGTGAAGTATAATAAAATCTAATAAGTCATCATTATTTGTCGTAATGTCTTTTTTATATAGGTATAAAGATATTTGAAAATGTCAAAATATTATCGGATAATATTATTAATAATTACATTATACAAATGTATAATTAAAATAATAAAATACTAAACAAGTCGATTAGTACATTTTTAATCAACATTTATTTATCGAATAATATAAAATCATAATCTTAATAAATAGAGAGAGAGAGAAAATGAGCTTAATTAATTACATCATTAACATATGGTATATGCGTTAGATATATTAAATAAGTAATAAATTAAACGATAAAATTAAAAGGCTAATTTTATATACTTTTTTATATTTATATATTTTATATATTTTTATATATTTAATATAGTTTTATATATAATTTAAATTATACAAAAAATAATATATTAAATATATTAATTTTCTATATCGAGATAAATATAAAAGATACGTAACGATAGGCGACGTAAGAAATACAATTGCAAGATCCAGCCCTTTTCTTCTTCGTCGGATAGAATTCGATTCCTTTACTTCTATCCCAGATAACTCATTTGTCATCCGAAAAACATCTCCCGCACGAGTGCGCCCTAGTAGAAAGAACATACATTTCGGAAAGCCGCCGTTCCGTCCACCATGCGAAATAAAGCCTTGGTCCACTTGGACCGTTCTTGCGTGAGACGCGAATTGAAACGCTCACGCGAGCGGAAGGGTGACAGAAAGGGTCCTCACTCTCGGTGAAGAGAGATTAAAATAAAACGACGGATTTAGCACACAAATCGCGACGTCCAAAACACAAACATCTGCACATGCATAGAATTTTGTCTTAAAATTATTTACCCCGACAATTGTGGGATAATATACGAACAATTTTTATTGGAAGACATTTTTCAGTTTCTCTAATTAATATTTTTACCGCAATAAAAATATTAATAGATATATTAAATATGTTCAATTAATTTTACTAAAATATTGCATATTGAAATTTCAAGATTTTAAAGTATATTAAAAATTTATAATTCTTTAAGTATTTTGAATAGAATAGATGCCAAAAAGATATATATTTTATATAAATTTTTTAATGCAGAATTTTCTCTTATTGTTAGAATTTATTCTGAAATTTACTTGATAATCGTGGGTTTATAATATAATATTGGAAGAATATTTTAAAAGTTTCTCTCTGATTAATATTTTTACCACAATAAAAATATTAATATCTATACCGCAATAAGATATTAAATATATGTTCAATTAATTTTACTAAAATATTGCATATTAAAATTTCAAGATTTTAAAATATATTAAAAATTTATAATTCTTTACGTATTTTGAATAGAATAGATTACCAAAAAAGTGATACACATATAAAATATTTTATATAAAATTTACAATGCAGAATTTTCTCTTAGAATTTATATATTTTGAAATTTATATGATAATCATACGTTTATACTAAGATATTCGAAGAATTTTTAAGAGAGTTTCTCCGATTAATATTTTTACCACGATAAAAAGTATTAATATCTACAACAATAAGATATAAAATATGTTCGATTAATTTTACATTTATATGTACATAGTAAAATATGTATTATGTATATATTATTTATTTTTAATATATATATATATATATATATATATATATAAAAGTTTGTTTTTTATTTATATTATATTAATATAAATTTATAATGTTTATTAATTATTATTTTTTACATTAATTTATTTATATTAATATTTTATTTAATATTTTATTTTAAAATTAAATTATAAAATATCTAAGATTTACAGATACATATAGTTTTTTATATATTAATTATATATAAGATAGATACATTTTGGAGGGATTTTATCGACATTAAAGCCCCGGATGTTCGTAATGTTTCAGGCGATGCGGAAGGCGACGCCTTTCTCCGACGGGGTCGATCGTCCTAAAGTAGTATCACAGCAACCGAGCACGATTTCTGGGGGTTGCTGGAGCTGCTGGAGCTGCAGGGTTGGCCAAAAGAAACTTGCAGGTATTTAATATTATTTTTAAAAAATTATTTATTCTACATTTCATTAACATCCCTCGCATAAACACATTTTTTTTTATTTGCGAGTGACGATGTATTATTTTTTTTTAAGCGTAATTTGTTACCGATTTAGAATACGTCTATGCGTATTTTCGAGAATTCGTCAAATTTGTCTAGACGCTCTTATCACAGAACGAACGAGAGCTCATTAAGGACTGATTTGCATGGATTTAAATAACGTCGCCGGATTAAATAACCGAACGGTCACTTGGCACCGTTAATTAAATTAATTAGCGTCAGGACGGATCGGATTAAGGGTTCACTCCCTTTGGCACATTACTTTTCTTATCGGTTCTCCCCTTTCTTAGGGGCGCTCTCGTACTTTATACAAACATATTAAACGATATATATATACATTTATTTATTTTTATTTATTACATTTATTTTTATATATATACATTTATTTATTTTTTATTTAATATATACATATATACATATATGTGTATATATATATATATATATATACACCATATATATGTATATATGTATATATTAAGTAAAATAAATCAATGTATATTTAAAAAAATGTATAAATATCTCCTAAAAATAAATATATATGTCTCTATCAAATATCTTAATATATATAATAAAAAAAATAAAATACCAACTATATTTTTATTATAAAAATATATTTATTTTTTCTCTCTATATATATTTTATTTATTTTTTATTTTCTCGCGCGAAATTATTGCTTCCCCTCGATCTCAAGTTACTTCGATCAAAGTTTGGGAATCTTAAGGGGCGGCCAGGTGGCGATAGGCGCCTCTTGGTTTATCGGGGACAGATAAGCACCTTCCACGTAGTCGAGAGACACGGATGAACGCCGGCGGGAAGGTCTGACTATAAATAGCATTAGAATATCCATTTAAGTCCGTACGCACGTTAAATCGATCGACCTCCACCAGCTACAATGAAGTCTTACGTTATACCGCCTGATAAACACACCATCTCTTCTTCTTTCTCTTTCTCCCGCGCCCACCCTCTCGGAAAAGGGAGGAAAGCGAGTTTTTATTTATATATCCATATAGCGTCTTTAATCGCGCCTGGGGACGGCGAACACGTGGCGCATAATTTAACCCTTCTGTCGTAACGCATAATTTTTCACCTCTCCGTCGATATGAATATATATGCTTATATACCCCCTGGTGTCGTGTTTTCGACACATCGCCGCAATTTTTTTATAGCACTCGCCGGGCATCGAATATTTTTTTCTTTTATATTTTAGCTAGATTTCTAAATTCAAAGGTTTTCTGAATTTTTATTATATATTTTACTTGTATTATTAATTTTTATATTTTCATGTATTTTTTTTTACAAATATTTATTTATTTTATGCTTTGATTATATCCCCTACAGCACGAAATATTGATGGAATATTGCAAGAATGCTGATTTATTTCTGCAAATGTGAATATTATATTTATAAAATATTGCAGAATATTTCTTATTTTTTTATTTTCTTTATTTATTCAGACATTTTTATTTGTCCGATTTCTGAGCAGTTAATTTAATATTTGAGTTCTCTGTGTTAGGACCGTATCAGAAAAAATTAAACTGATAAAAAATATTTTGCAATGTCTCCAATAAAATAATTACTTGTAATATTTGCACAATATTGCTGCAATATTTGTAATATGGCGCGATATTACAATATTTTAGCAATATTTCGTGCCGTAGGGAATTTTATTTCGGGCGGAGGAAAATTTCAGTACATTTTTACACCCGTTCATGACGAAAAAAATTATATATAGCAGTAATATTTTGCAATGTCTCTAATAAAATAATTACTTATACACTGTAAAAAATATGTAATATATTACACAAAAATATGTAAAATTACATAAATAATAAGTGTAAAATTACACGATAAATAATAGAAATTTTTACCTTTTCATTATTTATCATTTAAATTATTAATGTATTATAATTTTACACATTTTTTTTACAGTGTAATATTTGCACAATATTGCTGCAATATTTGTAATATGGCGCGATATTACAATATTTTAGCAATATTTCGTGCTGTAGGAAATTTTATTTCGGGCGGAGGAAAGTTTCAGCACATTTTTACACCTGTTCAATGACGGAAGATTTAAATATACGCGTCAAAAATTAAAAATTCTATATTTTTAAAATCCACAGAGAGGTAGTACTCGCAATAAAAAATATTTTTTGCTCGGAACAAATTCGGAACGCTATTTCGATCGTAATCCTTCCAGTTTCAGTTGGAAAAAGAAAACGTCGTCCATCCATCTCATTCGGAAATTTCGGATATATATGCGATCATAAAAAAAAAAAGAAAAGAAAAGAAAATAGAGAACACAACCTGTGTGTCTGATCTCGTATTCGTCTCATTTCTCACCGAATCTCACGCTGGTATATCGAACCGTCCGGTGTCGATATCCGGTTATATTTCCTTCTCCAAAATTCTCAGCAAGCAGGAAGATTTGCCGGAAATTGCGTGTCGCTGACTTGGAGTATTCGTGACAATTTCACGCCGTAGAAAATTTCCTTCTTTTTCGCGAAAAGGAGAAAAGCGCAGCGGAAACACAGTACATATTTAATGTGTATATATATGTGCCGGATGTTTCATGCGATATATATGCAGGATCAGCTTTAAAATGGATTATCAAAGTACAAAATTTAAGATCAATTTTTCCTTCGCGTCCGATGCACTAATATCAATTTATTACGTAATAAAGTATAGAATTATCAAATAAAATTAAAATAAAATCTATTTCTTAGATTATTTATTAAAATGTATAGTATAATTATTATATTAATTTATATTAATACATTTAATATATTAATACTTTAATTAAAATTTATTATATAATAAAATATAGATTTATTACACAATGAAATATAGAATTATCAAATAAAATTAAAAAATGTATTTCTTAAACTATACTTATTAACATTTATTATATAATAAGTTATATTAATTTATATTAATAAATTATTAATAAATTTAATATATTAATATTTTATTAAAATTTATTATATAATAAAATATAGAAATCTATATATTAGATATATAAATAAAATGAGAATTGTTGAAATTTTATTTCATCTAACAATAAGTAGCGGATAATACGTTGCACTTGTTTCTTGAGAGTAATGTTATTAAAACTTTGTTCTATAGAACATGAATATTATATATATAAAGCTTCATACGAACTGTTCGCGATTAATTTTGTTCGAAGTAACGGCGAAGTTTTCAAACGATCGCGTGAATAATTGCACGATTTTGTAGTAAATTTATCGCGCAAGTCAAGTGCCTTTCTCGCTGCAAATTGCAGCGAAAGCTGCATTTAACTGCATTAAAGCCATCCCTCGCACGCCGCATAATGTCCCCACGTTACACTATACCCATCGATATGCGCGTAAAGTATAGGCCATGTGTAAAATCCCGATGTAAATCGTCCACGTTGCGCGTTATATACGTTAAAATATGTATGCGTTTGCGTAAAACCTACAGCGTAAACCGCAGAGATAAATAAACATATCCCGTGATTTACGAAGAAATCACGGAGATACTACATATTCTAGAGAACTAGTTTAGATTTGGATCAGATCACCCTAAATCGATGATCGGGAAGACGGATTTATCGAATTCACCACAAATCTTATTTTCGTTTTATTACGCGCGTTCCTGGTATGATTTTTAATAAGTAAAGTCTTCTGAATTTTATTTTTTGTATTATTAATTTTTATATATTTTATGTATTTTTCTACAAATATTTATTTTATGTCTTTTATAGAAATATTATTTTTACTGCGATTTTTTTCCATTATGGATTTTTTTTATATCAATCAAAACGAATTTTAAGTTTTATTAAATATTATATTTTTATATGAATTTCTGAATTTTTTAATCCCAAAATTTAAAATCTTATTTTCATGTCTCTCTAAAATAGGTATATTTTATATACGATGTCTTTTGCGTAGTCTTGTAAATTTTCATTATAAATTTCAATTTTATATTTTGTTTTCTGTGTCGCTAATACGTTCACATACATTTTATACATTTTTTATGAGTATTAATTTTATTGCCTTTTATGGAAATATTATTTTAATTACAATTTTCTATTCCGAAATTTTTATATAGGCAGTCGAGCGAGATTTTAATTTTAACTAAACATTAAATATTTTTAATCCCAAAATTTATTTCCATGCAAATTAAATTTATATTTTATACACGATGTCGAGTATATAATAAGTAAATTTTGTCCTTCCTCCAAATCAGCCCGGACGATAAAATTTGTAGGCGCGCGTTTCTCGGGGAAAATGTAGGTCGAATCCACGGGGGACGAATAGAAAAACTCATCGGTCGTATATACTTTGAACATCACGGATTATTCCAGGACGTTTGATATGGCGGCGCTTATGTTTGCTCGAATGTTGCGTATATTGCCTTGGCAATCAAAGCGATCCTTCGAAACGGGCGCATACGCGTTTGTATTTATCCATGCTCTGCACATAATGGCTTGGCAAATATTCGCTGCCACCCTACCGCCCCATTCATTCTCGTCTCTCGTCTTGTTTCACTCTCTATATACAGTCTGTAATTCGGCCTGTAACCCTTTTGATGTGACGCGCGGTGTGAAATATGACCAGAGATGCGGGAGAATCCAATTATTTTGCACGATTGCACAGGAAAAAGTGTATAATATTGTGTCTCTCTTTTTTCAGAGTTAAATTATAAAAAAAATTGTACATACGTATATCCAGATTTATTTATCGTTGCCTTTATTGATTTCTTTATGCTTCGCTATGAAAGCTTTAAATGCGGGTGTGGTCGAAGTCTTGTTAAACATTTAAAAACTAATTTTTTATATATTTTATATATATGCAATATATTATATATTATATATTATATATTAATATATTATTATATATTATATATATTTAATACATATATTTTATTAATATATTTTATGT